ACCTGATTTTGCTGCTATTCAAACAAGTGAACATTATCTCTTTTACACCCAAGCACACCCAGCTTCTTGAAAAGTTTCCCTAAATTAACATTACATCCCATCGTGTACGTGTATCATGTTTTCTTTTTTTTTTGCAGAAATGTCTCAAATCACAGATTATTTCAAAAAGAGTTCGCAAGGAGGAGAATTGCGAGGACAAGTGAAACAGTACAGAGTGCAGACATCATTAGTTCTTCTAATGTAGGGGGAAAAAAGCTAATTCATGTTACTGATGAGATACAGTTAATGTGTCAGGACTGACTATAGGCCTAGTTCTCAGCCACAAGTGGAAGGTGCTGGTGGAGGAGAGGAGTGTATTAAAGCCAACGATTTTAACATCACTTTTTATTCATCTTCCTAGATGTTCTCAAAAGATGTTCTCAGCAGCATAGAGTGAGTGACCCACAGTGGCTGGAGAAATAATGATAATGAAAATATAAATATTGCTGCGACCCCCCCACCCCCATGATTGTACGGCTTAGTACCACCCCCGTCTAATTTTAGGCCAGGAAAAGCCCTGTGGCAGCACTAATGAGTACATTTATTTGTGATAATTGAAGTGTATTAAGCTCCATGGTTTAACTCTGAAATGAAAACTTGAAATACGTCCAACCAAACTGGAAGAATCTCGCTCAGTCTGGCAAGATAGTCTAAAACATTTAGTGATGCCAGAGCAGCCTGTTACCCATCATTTAAGAGGAAAATAAAAACAGCCCTGCAGCTCTGTAGCCAGACTGTCCAAGAGTCATAGCTCTGTTGATCTATGTGTTCCTACACCTCTCAGTAGTGACGATTTCATGAGCTTCTTTAATGATAGTTATACTAACTATTATAGACTAAATTCACCACCTCCTGCCCCAGTAGCGGTTTATCACTCCATAAATGTCCATTGTTATGCAGACGATACCCAACTGTGCTTGTTAATGAAGTCTGATGAAACTGATCAGTTAGCTAAACCTCACCTTAAGGACATAAAGACTTGGATGACCTGCAATTTTCTGCTATTAAACTCAGACAAAACTGGTTATTGGACTTGGCCCCAAACACCTCAGAAACACATGATGTAATGGTATAGTTATTCTAGATGGCTTTGCCCTGGCCCCCAGCACCACTGTAGGGAAGCTCTGAGTTATCTTTCATCAGGACAACAGGTCATTTAACTCCCACATAAAACAAAAAAACAAAAACTAGTCCATGCTTTTGTTATTTCTAGGCTGGATTATTGCAATGCAATTGCAATTCCTTATTATCAGGGTGCACCAAAAAGTCTCTAAAGACTACTCAGTCCCTTAATGGTCAGGCACCATCATATCTTAAAGAGCTCATAGGGTTAGGGTTAGGGTTATTAGAACCACTAGACCACTGCCCTCCCAGAATGCAGGTCTACTTGTGGTTCTTAGAGTCTCTGACAGGAGAATGGGAGGTAGAGTCTTCAGTTGTCAGGATCCTCTCCTGTTTAACATTCTTACAGTTTGGATCCAGGAGGTAGACACTATCTCCAGGGTAGGAATTTTATGGCAGCCACTGCCCTTCCCTCTAGCCGTAATGCCACAAAAAAAATTGTATGCCCTACAACCACCATGACCTTTGTGCCCATGCTACTGACAGAATGTCTAGCTTGCTATAAAGCATCACTGCAGCAGTCCTTGTGATGTGGATTGGTTGTGTGCATATACTGTACTGCTAACTTCTACTGTATCAGTGTAACTGGCTCATTTACTTGCTACTGCTGCCTCTTTTTCCACACTTCTGCACATGCCTTTAATGCTGCAATACCATCACTGATCCCAGAAATGCTGCTCACATATACAGTGTTTTAATACAGCTGAATTCACAATGATGCTCAGCCCAGGCTGTTTTCAGGAGAGGAAGAGAACTGTTGACTCGGATAGGTACAACAAGAAACTTTGTCAACAGAAGAATTATTTGGAGATGGAGATGACTGGCAGTGTGGTCATTTTATGTTGCCGCATTTAACTTTATCAACAGTGAAACAACGTAATATAGGTAAAAAGCAATTTATCCAGCAAGACTTGTCCAAGTAATTGGTATTGGACAGCACTGTATTATGATGGCCCCTCAGGACAAGGCTCATAGTAAACAGAGTAAACATTAAGATACAAATAGGAAAAACACATGCAAAAATAACTGCTACATCAGAAGTGCTCTACTTTTGCATGCCATCCGGTTTATGTACCTAACCATTTATTAAGTTCTGATATTTTTTAAGGTAAGAAAATAAACATTTAGATTTTGAATTCCAGTTTATCCAAATAACACCTGTTTGGAGCTTTGTTCCAGTGTTTTCAGATATGTGAGGAACCTGCCTGGGGGATCACACTGTAAACATGTGTTTCTGTCTGAAGGTAAAGCTGAATTCATAATAAATATATTTCATTTTATCTACTGAAAGGAATTATAACATATTTCTGAATTCTCTGGCCGACAGAGTCAGTGGAAAATTACTAAAGGGCTGCTGAAATAAGACTGTTCTCACTGGGACAATGGTGCACATTCAGTTAGTGAGTTGTTTCTGAAAACAGAAATGTGAGTGCCTGGTGTGCAGGCTGTGTCTGTAATGTTGCTGCTGAAAACAGCCACCGCCTACAAAAGAAATTACACTGATTGGCAGCAGGTCTAACAATCTGACAGTGTAATGTTGATTCCAGCTGGAACCTGAGCAACATTTTCCAACACCTTTGATTTGAGGAGGGACGAAATTTAGAATAAATGAAATTTCATAAATAAATTTTTATTTTTTAAATTTGCAAAGTAAATGCTAAATCTGAAGTTCCAGCTTTATGGGACAGAAACATAGAGCATCTGTTTTATTGAAGTACAATGACCTGCTGTTTCTGAGCGAGAGAAATCGGAGAGGAAGATAATGTGGTTCGATCTGAGAGGAAGAGCTGATGTTTCACTGCCACCTGCTGGTGGAGGACTCAACTCCTCCAAAGTCATTAAACCTAACATGAGAAAACAGTACAGGGCAATTACTACAACAGAATCTTTGAGCCACTGCAAATGTCATTCAGAAGTGTGTGGCAAGGATAGCAGCATCAGGCTTTGTTGGAGCGAGAGCCAGTAATTAGAGCTGACATTTCCCTCTAAAACGGTCATTAGTCACTCCCAAACAAGCCTGATGTGATAACTGTAATATCTTTAAATTGCAGCAATTAGAAAAGGTTTGCCGAAGGGGCCTGAAAATTTTCTTTGCCTCTCAAAATGTCAACAATGCGCAATCTCATCAGTGCAAGGAAGATGAAAATAAGCTCATATTAATGTGTCAATAAGACAAAGTATGTGGCATCTGCAGAGGAAGTGTTTCTGGGTCTGAAAAGCTCTGTTCAGCAGGTCCACTGTTGGAATCTGGAGCTCAGCAACAGGTGACTTTTAACTATGTGAATCTTTTTTACTGGCAGTGGTACTGTATTTGTTACCAACACATATTTCACTGGTATACCTGTTATAGCTGAGCAATGGAGGGAGAAGGGTCCTGGTAAGAGAAGTAACCAAAAACCTGATGGTCACTCTGAGCTCCAGAGATCCTGTGCAGAGATGTTTTTGAGCCTCAACACAACCCTGTCTCTGAGCTCTGCAGCTGTTCCTTCCTCTCCCCTCCTCATGGTTCTGCTCTGATCTGCATCGTCAGCTGTGAGACCTGATATAGACAGGTGTGTGTCTTCAGCTGACTTTACCACAGGTGGTCTCCAGTCAAGGTGGAGAAACATCTCAGAGATGATCCAGAGAAATGGAGGAACCTGAGCTAAACTTAGAGAGTCAGAGTAAAGTGTCTGAATACTTATGTCAATGTGATATTTCAGTCTTTCAGTTTTTCCTTATTAATAAGTTTGCAAAAAAAATCTAAAATTCTGTTTTCACTTGTCATGATAAGGTATTAAGAGTAGTAACATATGTTATATTTTTGATTTTAGTATGAGGCTGCAACATAACAACATGTGGAAAAAAGGGGGTATGAAGACCTTCTGAATGACCTGTATCACAGTATATTGCAATAAAGTTAAAGTTCAACATAAATTGAACTGGATTAAATTTGGTTAGCTGATTTCAATAATAAATTCACAGTAACAACAGTATGAGCAGGGCTACAGTATTATTAGATTATTAAATGTGTTTTTGTGTTCATTGCCATTTAAATTGAATTCTATGATCACGCTGATTGAAATGAAGATATGGGATGTTGTCACTACAATGACATACATCTGAATAATTCAACAAGCAGCTTACTAACCAACTCAACAGTGAATCCTGTGTTTATCTGCGAAATAATATCAGCTAACTCTCCACACAGCAGGATATTTGCATCAGTTTTGTTTCCATTGTTACATTTCACTGCCATCCACAATAGTACTAATTAATACAGTAAGTAATGTAAGCTAAAACACCCGTTTGCTGTTATCCTTCATATTTAGTTACATCATGCAGACCTAAAAAACAGTGTTCTTTAAATTACATTACTCGTACTGACATGGGCTCCTCCAACCTCACTGTGTCACTCACAGTGCACTGATACATATTCACAACGACCACAAAAATCACTTTCATTCACAACATGAACCAAACAAACAATTTCCTGTGATAAAAGTTACAGAGCTTCAGAGCTCAGGGACCTGTGGTTGTGACTGTGTGAAGCAACTCTGTAGTATGAGTTTGGGTGTTGGATTCAATTCATTTTGTCATAACAACTTCAGCCAGTAGGGTTTGGCCTCATGGTCATCTAAATTTGTCCACAGTCTCAACTTCATTAAAACACATAGAAAAACCTGTACCAGCTTCCATCTTGACTTTGGTGAGAAATCTTTTGGTAATTTTTAACTATTAAGTTCTGTGTAACTGCACATGCTTTGTATAGTGATTAAATATATACATATATTTGTTGAATTAGAGCAAAGAGAAGAAAAACCAGAGGACAGAGAAATGAAGAAGAAGTTCAAACCCACCCGCTTGATGGAGCTGCGAGTCTTCTCCTTCCACTGGTTGCTGCTCAGCTCCAGGGTGCAGTGAACATATGTTTCTCTGTCGTAGGAACCCAGGATGAACAGTCTGCAGGGTCAGGGCACAACTTACATCAGAACCACACATTCAAACTGACTAAGACTAAGATATTTATAGGCACCAATCAAGTCAAATCTTTTTGTGTTCATAACCTTGTGTTTCTATTTTCTCACTTATAGTTATAATGAATTATATGAACACAAACGTATCTCCTGAAGCTGGAACAATTTGACTGAAGTCACACATTTCTGTGCATCAATCATGATTGATAAAAAACATCAGCAGAATCAAAATCAGATTTTTGGGTTATGTGGTCAAATGAACCTCACACAGTCCTGAGTTTTATGAGTTAAACTCTTCGTAAGTAACACTCCATTTGTACATTAATAAAGAAATGCTAATGGTTTAAAATACTGAATTGCGTTATACAAGGTGCTGTACAAATAAGTTTTAACTATTAGAAATAAAAAAAAAAAAAAATTGTTTCCCAAATAAATACATTCTTTGTAGAACAGAATAATTTAGAATGAGTTCATACTAAGTCTTAATGTAATAAAATCAGTCATGTATCTACCAGGTATTTGTTAACACTGCTGTGATTATGTCTGCTTTGCTTCGACCAGAGACACTAGTCAATCCTACAGTAGAAAAGAGATTGATCATCTTCTCTCAGGTTATAAAGGCTCCATTCATCTTCATCCACAGACACTAAAATCTTAACCAAGTCTACGTCTTATTACTCTTTATTTCAGAAATAAACTCTCTCATAATCTTTACAACAACATGGTTTATTCACCTGGAAACATGTTCATATTTTCAAACATCTCAATGTAGTTTTATAGACACCAAAGTAGAATTCAATCCAGGGCTGCAACTAACAATTATTTTCATTGTTGAATCATTTACTTTTTGATGAACTGATTATTTAATATTTATAGATTATTTAATTAAATAGTGAGAATTAGACAAGAACTAAAAGCCATTCACCACCCAAAGATATTCAGATTACAAAGGTATAAAAAAGAGAAATGCAGTAAATCCTCACACTAGAGAAGAATGGAATTGGATGGAATAGAATGGAGTAGTTTTAACTAGTCTATTCAATCTCTCTATCTATTTGTAAAACTAAGAGGCCCAACTTTCCTCATTTAACTTCTGGCAGCAGTAATGTTCAGCTACAAATTATTTTCATTATCCAGGTTCTTACAGGAAATAGGGAATATTTGTTCAAAACTCAAAGATATTCACTTATCTGTCATATAATAATAATAAATAAATGATCGTCTCCTTCTCTCTTCTATTACATCTTTCTCAACTAAACAGTTCGTTACACCTGACTGTGGAAAAGAAAAGATGAGGTCACAGCAACATTTACTCTGGCTCCTGCTGCCCCCTGCTGTTCTCAGGGGGTCAGTGCATCAGCAGAGTTTCCTGCTGTAACACTGAGGAGAAGAAGCTCCCTGACTAACCTGCTCTGACACACAGTACATTTCTGCAGAAACTATGTGATACTAAATATCTCAGGAGCAGGCCTCTGAGAATGAGGCCTGAATGAGCTTTAACTGTTTCCTTGGCAGGACTCCACCTAACAGGATAAATGGGTGAATACATCCCTCTGCTACACCTGATATCTTAACATAGTTAAAATACACTGTAAACCTCTGGGATATGATCTAATGTAATTCTCATATTGGGAGGATGGAGATAAAACAAAGTGATGTGAGAGGGAAGAGGAAGAGGAGAGTTTGTATGATTATAATGGGCAGGATATGAATTATTAATAGATGAGCCTGATCTGATCATCTTGTGGTCTATACACATCAAAGCACACACAACTAGTCTCCAAGGAAACAGAGGATAGGCCTCTGTATTGGGATGACCCTGGGCTAATTGATTTGACTCTTAGGCCAATTAAAATTTAAACATGCCATCTCTGAACAAAGAGGGAACATGTTTGTCTTAGAGACAGAGTGTAGTCTAATGGACTAATGGATGCAATAGTTGATAGAGTTTGAACACATTTTTTTAATGGCGATTGCCACTGTCACAGAGATTATGATAAAACTCTTCAAATTCAGATTATTAGACCCTGTGTTTACTTCATGTAGAATTCATATGGGTGGTGAACTGTAGTAGATACTGTTTGGATTTATTAGTTTTCTAACTGTAAAAAATAAAGTTTGAAATTCTGATTGATCAAAAAGTCTGCAACAACAGCAGACGTCCCAGTATGTTCTTTAAAATGACAGTCAGATAGTTCAGAAGGAAAAAGGAACGAATAAATACATCGCATCACTAACAATGCACTAAAGCACATGGTGTGCAGAGAATCAGTTTGTAAAATGCTACATTTTTATATCAAGTGAAACTTAACAAAAACTCTGTCCTTGTTTGAGGAGAAAAAACCTTTACCAGAGGATCTCCACAAAGATCAAGTAAATACATCCTAAGGTTTCTACTGAAGGTTTCTACTGATGGATCCTACTGAAGGTTTCTACTGAAGGTTTCTACTGAAGGGTCCTACTGGAGGTTTCTACTGAAGGTTTCTACTGATGGATCCTACTGAAGGGTCCTACTGAAGGTTTCTACTGAAGGATATTATTGAAGGGTTCTACTGAAGTGTTCTGCTGAGGGGTTGGAGGCAGCCTCCAAAAGTGGTTGGCTTTATTTTTCAGCCTTGGAGGTTGATGCTTGGACTAATACAATAGCCCTTCATGAAGGTTATGATGCTCAGTTTTTGTTAAAACTGCTTTGGAGAGGTGTTGATATGTACTCTGTTAAAACTGAAAGGTAATCCTAATTAATTTACCGTCATTGACATGAATGATGTGGACTAAATATTGTAACACCCAGTAGTAAACTAACAAATCGGTCTGGATTTGAACCTTGTGCTTCATCGACATTAAATAGAACAGAGGTCCAGAAGCCATCAGAAAAAAATATAAAAAATCATTGTTATAGTGCCACCATGACGTGAGGTGACATGAATTTTGTTGCCTTGACTACTGGGCAACAGTGTTGTTATGACTGTTGCTCATATGTTTATTTTTCTAGTTGTGTTTGACAGCTCTCGCTCTCCTCCTACGTGGGTGCAATCAGTGTGTGTGTGTGTGTGTGTGTGTGTGTGTGTGTGTGTGTGTGTGTGTGTGTGTGTGTGTGTGTGTGTGTGAGGAGGTGCAGGCGATGCTGGCTGAATGGCTAACAGGAGGTTTTAAACCTCAGCTGAACCAAACTTCCACCCCTCTCACCCTCCCATTTCCCAACAATGGAGCCTGCACATTAGTTGTCTGTCAGCTGTCAGTGTGAGCTGTAAGCTTTCAGTGTGTTCAGGCTTAGTACTAATCAGCAAATGTGTTTGTCAACTCTTGTCTTTTTTGTTTCATTTTATTTTGGTAGGTTAGTTTAAAGTTTTGAGGTCAGATTGTTTTGTTTGTTGTTTTGTGCACAAACATGTAGCATCCACATTTCCTTTAAACCAGGGACCCAACAGAAGGTCTTACATTTTTTCTGAGATAGCAATAATGATAATATAATAATGATAATAATAATAACAATAATAATTTTGTCCTTCTGAAGAGTGTGAGTGTGTGTGTGAGGTACAAAGGTATCTAGAGTTTTACCTGCTACATTCAATGAGGGTGACTTTGAGTCGGCCTTCCACCAGCCTGCTGTCCTGGACTGACAGGTCCAAATCACAGGCCGAACCCAGCAGAGGCTGCACTTGGAACGGGAAGAAGGGTTTGTATCTGGAGAGAGACATAGGAAGCATCCAAATTTCAGTTTAAATGGGGACTTCCACTGATGTTAAGTCCCTGACTGTGCATAAATCAAACGTAATGAATCCAACTAATGCAGACAGGGGAACCCTACAGTGCCTCTAAACTGACACAAATATATCACTTTTCATTGACCTTTAAAGGGAATTCACATAGTGCTATTACTTTAAATACAAGTAGACACCGTTGTCAACAACCTAAGAGTTAATCAGATTTGCAGAACCTGTCCACTATCTGTGAAAGGTATGAACTGACACACAGTGGAATGCATCAGCTCTGGTTTGTATTATTGGTGAAGAATGCAGGAGTCAGAGTCACAGTTAACGTAGGCCAGACTGACTGCTTCTGTTGGGTGTGGTGCTTGGTGGAGAACTGCCTCTAAGTGCAGCAGCCCTGAGTCTTCATAAAACCAGTCACTGTAATGTAGAAGCATGATGTCTGAGATCACACACCCGTCCTCAGCTATTCTGGGCTCCTGGTGTTGCTATCGCTGGCCTGAGGGCTCCTGCTGCTCTAAATAGTGGACTTTGTTCAGATCAGTCGTCCACCTTACTGATCAGACTGATGTTATTGTCTCCTACATACAAGTGCCAGGGCCAAGTGATGATTTTGTAAAAAGTCAAGTATTTCACCCAAATACAGAGAAAGTTTCACTGATGAGAGACAAACTGTTAGCATGCTAGATAGATCAGCTGTGACCATAAGATGCACCAATTCCAACATCAAAAGAATCTGTCCTTTGGATCAGCAATTACTTGCCATGTTGAACATGATTTATTTTAGAAATTTTAGAATTTTAGGGGTCACTGAAGCAAATGACTCATTGTCTACTTATTTTGTTGCTTTGATGACAGTAACTCCTCAGAGTCATTGCTGTACCTGTAATTTATAACACAGCTATAGTCTGGTGTAGAGGGACTGACGGTTCAGCCTTCAAGGAAACAGATTTGATTTGATTTTGAATGAGGTTTTTCTGCAGCGCCACATGTAACACTACATTTATAAAGAACTACTCACTTCAATGACTCTACACTGTCTGGAGAACCAGATTTATTGGGAGTCAGTGCCCAGGCACTTTGCTCCTGTTCAAAGTGACAACAACACAAAGACCCCACAAATGGACATAGCCCTTCTATATTAAAAGGCATGAAAAACTGTCTTCTGTTCTTGGCAAATGCAGACTCAAATTCAATCCATCTGCTTAGTTGACAGTTCAGTTAATGACAAGATAAAGGATTTAATAAAAAAGAGAGAAATTATTTATGAGAAGAATACTTTGATCACAAAGCTCTTATTAGATGATCTTCCCTCTCTGACCAGCTGAAAAGGCCACAAACACTTACTGTACTGGCCAAGACCAGGAGAGCTCTTAGGTTACCCAGCTTCAGTCCCGGCTGCCACAGACCATTCACTACAGTATGTGCCAGATACACAGGCTTTGGTGTTAGCTCAGCAAGTACACTGTCAAAGCCTTCAGAGACTGACTGACTGACTGACTGACTGACTGACTGACTGACTGACTGACTGACTGACTGACTGACTGAGCCACACCATCAGTTGGCAAAGTGTTGGACTGTTGCTCTGTCAAAATGATTTGGTGTGAACAGTTTCTATGACATCATCATGAGATAGTTACAAAGAACTCAACAGTTTTCAACGACTGGATTTCCTTAGACAGTGACTGGGTCTTTATTTACCAACTGCAGAAAGTAACAGGTCTTTATTATGGGCAGGTCTTTATTTTCTAATTACCTCTGAAATGTAGAATTGGTCAAACAATTTTTCTAACATTAAACATTTGTTAAAATAACAGCTGATATACTAACAGTTTCATACAACTAGAGTAACAGTACCATACCTCTCAGCTTAAGCCAACATCTGTCAGCTGACAGATGTGTCTGTCGTTGCTTTGTGAGCTGCAGCCAATAAACTGATGTTGTCTTATCCAACCTTCAAAGTGAGTCTTGGTTGTTGTGTGGTAACTGTGTCAGTTAGCCATGTGTCTGTTCAGTATGCTCATATAAGAAACCACTGTGGAAGTGTGTTAGCAGATTGCTGGGTGGCCCTGTTCACAACTGTTTCCATGGGGGGTCCTAAACAAGGCTATTAGCCAGCCAACAGCAGCTAGCATCTCCCAGCTGAACCTTTAGCTATGTACATCACATCAATATTTTAAGCTTATCACTTTAGTGTACGAGAAGCAGCTGTAAACTACTGTATATGGTTAGCTCAACAGTTGAAGTAGAGACTGAAATAAAATGTCAATAATCATCCAATAATCAGATAACTTCAGCCTTATCATCATCAGGTGTGATTTATTTACCAGGAGTTTGCAATTACTAAAATCTGCAGGTGGAGACCGCTTTCAGAATTATTTTTGAGACAAGTACTAATATAACAGCTACTAAGATATATTAATGCAGTATCTCAGTTAAAGAAGGAGGGGTATTAGTCATGAGGGATCATGTATCCTCTGGTGGTGCATCATTCTGTCCTCATATGTCAATTTTTAGGAATCACATATTTTCCCCCAGTATTCAATGGCTTAACGCTCAAGTCACCAACATCAACATGTATCATCTTTTACCATCTAATGGACTCAAATCCAGTCATCCGTAATCAATACTGCCCAGGTCATTCTCCTGAACAAATGGTTTCTTTATTTTCTTGAAGAGACATTCTCATTTGACTAAGGGTGTTGATGTAGAAGACCTGGCTTCACTGTTGCACTATATACCTGCTGTGACATTGCAAAACGAGGTTAAATGTACATTATAGGGCAGCTAATGAATGTTTTTAAAGGTCCCATATAGTATAAAGCCTCGCCCACCTGGACTCACCATCCAACCTTGCAGGATTTGGTCTCTCTGAGTTTACCTGAAATTTGCTATATTTTTATTGGATCACTCAGAAAACAGTCAGCCAATAAGAAGAGTGGCTCAGAGCCTCCTCTCCTCTGATTGGCTCACTGACCTGTTGTTACTAGAGCTCCACAGAGAAGCCTGAGAGAGGAGATGTAAACCTACATTGAAATGGTTTTTGGTTCTTAAAACCACAAATATATCTTCTAATGAACACTTCAAATAAAACACAGGAGAAGTGTAACATATGGGGCCTTTAAACTATGGTACTACTTCCTGTTCCAGTAAATTGCAGTTGTGTTGTTTACAAACCTCATCATCTCTCAGTTCTGGGCCAGCAGCCAAAACAACAGCTAAACTACAGTGACAGTCCAATCGATGCACAAGTCTCCTGTCTGTGGTACAAGCAGAGGCTGAGCTGAAGGGAACTGGACTCTCTCTAAAATGGCCAGCTGTTTGTTTGCAGTGGTGCTATCATCCTTCCTCTTCTGACAGGAAGTGACAGAAGGAAGGAGGTTAAAGAAGATCGACAACAGAAATCACTCAGCTAAACACCATGTGTGTGTGTGTGTGTTTTCATGCAAGCTGTGATATAACACATTAAGGACACACCAAAATTTAAATATAGACATAGATATGGGTCAGTGACGTGACACTTCATTTCCTGCTTTTACATTCAATTGATGATTTATATACATGAAATACTTTAATTTCGTATTATCTGAAACAGATTTGAATTAGTAATTTTTTCCTAACATTTCATAAACTACAGTTTATGTTTAATCTAGAGTATGTGTTTTCACTTGGGTAATTGTGCATTTAATAATAATTTTTATTTATGATTTATGTATAAATTGATTTCTGACCGTTTTAATCTACTTTGTCAGATGCCCCTGCCAAGCAAAGTAAAACCCATTGGCCAGAGGCAGCATGTTAATTCTGACCCTACAGCGAAAGCAAAGTACCTTGCTGGGAGAAGAGAGATTCTTAGATTAATGTGATTATACACTAATGAAAACATATTTATGAATATTATTATGTGAATTAGGAAACACTGCAATAAGGTCGTGTAACAGACATGTCATCTATAGCAAAAAGAAAATTGTTTAATAAAAAGTCAGACAGTTTCATGGTTGCATGAACAACGTTGTGTGCTCCCTCTCTGGCTGATAATGAGCCAATCATTTAACAGGTGTTTTTGTTCAGTTGCACCAACAACAACAACACCACACAGGCTCCATGATGGAGAGGCACTCAGCAACAACACTATCACAACTTATTTCACCAACAAAGCAACAAACAAACAAACAAACAGTGATGCAATGAGTGTGATTACTGTATATACATGTATATATATTTTTCAAAAAATGACAATTTGAATATGAAGATGTTTTTCTATAAAACTTTATGATTGCCCAGTGTTTTTATTCTCAACACAAAGCAGCCATATAAGAAGTTTAAACCAAGAAATATCTGATCAATGAATAAGTTCACAAAACTAAGAATCTAACCAAGATTCATAAGTTTCAATACTTTGTGCTAGAGACACATTTAAGTTAGCACCCAAACAGCAGAGTAGTGGAGCTGCACACCCCGCTCTGATATTAACACAGGACCTACGGTAACAATGAGGTCATTACTGACATCACTGAGACTAAACTTCACTGTAAAATCTAATAAAATACTACTAGGAAAACTTCATGTCTCATTTTCACTGTTTCATCAAAGGTCTCTGTCTTCTGACTGTGGGGTTCTGGTGTTGAACTGACTGCACTGACACCTGAGCCACCACCAATCAAGTTCCTCCAAAGCCTCTTGGAACTAGAAAAACTGTAGATTTTATATTCCTTTTAAAAGTTACCAGAGGATTGTGATTAAGAACGTTGATGACATAAATTCCTTAAGCAACTAAATGGTGCAGCTAAGCTCCATTAATCTTACTGTGTTTGAAAGTTAATTCTCAAATTATCAGTTTCAAAATTCAAGGTCCACATATTGGTTTTTTCAACACTATTCAGTTCACAGGTTAATAGATCCAGCTGAGCTAAATGCCAGCTACTGATGAAGGCTGTGTGATGCAGCTGAAAGATCAGGAAGAAGCTTGGAAGT